GGGTGTGCAAGCATGCATGTACACAGCTGCAGGGTGCTGCCCTGCACAGAAACAAGGCTGTGCTCACAATTCCCATCTCACCCTGCCACTTTCTTCATGGGGCTGCTGAGAAGACCCTTTGCTCATACTCTGCACTAACTAGACAGAGGGTGTCACCCTCTTTCTCTGGAGAGCGGAAGTCTAAGCGAGGTGCTCTCTGGGGAAGAACAGCATCTGCAGTCCTTCAAGCATCTCTTGCCCTGCCTTCCTCCCATCCCACAGCCCATGTTGGGAGAGCAGCTGTGGCCTGGGTGAGGCCCCAGGCCAGGAGGCTGGTGGGCACTGGAGGTGATTTCATCCAGTGACACTGCAGTTGTACATGGTTTGTTATTTTCAGTCACATTCCATTTTCAATCTAGACTGCCAGACTCATCTCTAGGCACAGGATTCTTTCTGGAAACAGGCCATTATGAAAATGCACACCATTTTATTCCTTTGGAAAGCTTCATTTTGTCTCTGATACCGTGGTGCGTGACTGTGGCATGATCCTGACATCCTCATAGCAAAGGCAGAGCTGAAAAGCTTTATGCTGAAAATCTGAGATAAAAGGACACCGTTGCTGATGTGTAGTCAAATGTGACCATCAGATTATTGTTTGCTACCTCCCAAAACAAAATTTAACATCTCCTATTGAAACTGAAAGAAAAAGATGTGGTAATAAAAACAGCAGACCAAAGCAAGCTAGAAAGGCACAAGTGATACTTATTACTAAGAGCTTCTAGGTGTCTGAGGAAACACAGTCAATAAACTAAAATCTAACATTAACAATTAATAAAATGGCCTTTTTTTTTTTTGAATAAGAGCTATGCCAAAGGAAATAATGCAAACTGCATGGGTAGTCTTTAATTAATATCCCTAACCACTATCTTCCCAGGCAGACAATAGAGACATCAGGCATCTGTATTAGTTAATGGGGCAAAAATATCTGCTTAGTTAAATGGATGTATATCTTAAGATCTGCTTTTAAAGTCCTTTTGTTGCTTTAAAAATCTTATCTGGGACAAGTTTTCCACTGAATAGACCACTAATTTGTTTGACAAAAATGTCTAAACAAAAAGTACCCAAGAGATCCAGAACGGATGAATCTGTGGACAGAATTCAGTCAATAATAGGAAAATCTACCTTAAGACAATTAACCAGAATCCACATATGGAAGAAAAATCAAGTGGAGCTTTCTTCAGGAGATGAGCCTCTTCCTGTCAGAAAGATGCTTTATTCCACTTGGCATCCTCAACTGTTTCCAACGTCATTAAAAAAAAAAAAAGAATAAAAAAAGTCAAGAACCTCTTCTAAGATTTGACAATTAGCTGATAATTAAAGGCCAGTTTTAGGATTATGTTTAAATCAAGTTGGCTCAGCCCACAAACTCAAACGTTTTATCAGTGGTCCAGCCACAAAAATATTGGCTGCTCTGGGTAAAACTAATCTGTCTCTTTCAGTTTATGCAAGGTACATCCTGCTTTGTCGTGTTTGGCTTCTGGTAAAGAACCACCAGCACACTGTTTCACCTCAAAATGCAGCCTGTGATTCAAGGATTCTTCCCTAAGGAAAGAATGGCATAAACCCTCCATGAGCTGAAATATGGAGCCCTGCAAATTTAGACAGAAGCTAGTGGTTCTGGTGACATTTCTGACTGTTAAATGATGTAACTGAGCATGAAGGAAGACCCCGCGCTCTCACTCAGTGCCACTGGCACATGGTACTGATGCTCTCATGGCTGTACATAAGGTTTCTTGCCCTGCCTGTAAAACATCTGGGAATACTGACACCTCTCCCCTCCTGCATTTTTCCCTTCTCCTCCTCCAAAAAATCCCAATCCCCTTAAAACAACACCCAAAGCAAACTTACCATTACATGCATAAAGAAAACTAGTAGCAGGTATTAGTTCCTGAAGTCTCTAAAACACGAGAAGTAGGATGAATGCTACATTATTGCTAAGTAGCAATTAATTCTGATGTTTCTTAGGCTTCAATCTTCAAGTAGCTCTCTGCAAGAATGTGCACATAAAGATTTCAACGATCTTACTCTGGAAAACACTGTTTGCTGCTATTCTTTCTCCTCATTGGAAGCAATAAATTCCCTGAGAGAGAAAATGTTGATCTGAGCCAAATTTGTGCTCTATTTCAGTTCTTCTCCTAATGGATAATAGTGCTGTAGGCACCATGATTTCATGCAGCTGTGGTATCTTTTAGGTGGATACCAAATCTTGTCTTTATACAAAGCTTTATTGCTGGTGTCAGAAAATAATATCATAGCCATTGCTTCAACCATTGAATGCAAAGTGAAATTCTCCTTTGATGGTCTGTGTGCTGTAACATAAACCAACACAAAGTGCTCTAACAGAATATAGAAATATTCTCATGTTTTCCTTGGAAACGTTATTACTCTTCTGTGAAGAAAATCTCTTCCTTGCTCACTGCCAATTGGCTCACCACTTCCTTTTCCACATTTTTTCCACATCCATTGTATGGAGGGCAAACTAGTGATTCAACTATTCATCTGTCTTAGATACTTGTGTAGTGAGTTTTATGGTTTGAACACTGTTGACCAAGGAAAAATGGTGAAGTTTGCAAAGTCAAATATTCTGTTCAGTTTGTGAAAATTTAATCTGGCTTGCACAGTTTTTCAAAATACAGTGTTTATTATGTTTTTTTCCCAGAATTCCACTACATATGTTATTTGCAGAAAAATGAATTTGATCTGAAGCCAAATTATAATGCTGCAATGAAGGGGGGTGTTACTTACAAGACATCTACACCATGAGCAGCAGAAACTGTTGAGAATGAGGAAGGCAACTCTAATAAAAGGAAGAACAGTTCCACATTGGTGTTCTCTGGAAAATAGTTTCCCTTCACAAGAATGCTCAGAACACAAATAAATCAAGGTGAATGTATCCCTCAAGTATAATGAAGTTGGGTATGGAAGAAAAGTCTGTGATAAAAAGAAAAAAAAGTCTTCCAAGGAGGGTTTGCACAGTATGTAACAAAGTTCAATAAAACCTAAACTTGAGCAATGAGAACAATATGGAAGAGCTGCTTCTTATGAACAGCCTGCATTCTCTATGTCCAGTGCTTCACAGTGTCCACTAAGAAACATAGCAGGCAATTAAATAAGGCTGCATCATTATATGTATGCACAGGGGAGCAAAAGGAGCAAAATTACAATTCCACTTTTTCTGCAGTTCCAGAATTTCTTAATGTCTGAATATAATTTTGCAAATGTAACAGTCTTCTTTCAACAACCTCTGTGCGCAATGTATGTGTCTGATTCTTTGTTTCATCTTACTGAGATTTAAAGAGACACTTACTAATGCGCTTTGAATCCCTGTAGTTCAAATATTCATTTTTTTTCCTGTGAAACAGGATGAGCTGAAGCATAGCACTTAGAGTGTTAGGTGTTATGGAACATTTATCACTAAAATGGAAAATAATAAGAAATGATAATTTTGGGAGATCTTGCAATCACTACATACATTAGATACACAAATTTACAGGAAAAATCAAGAGTTAAAAAACCCGTTAGAATAAATGTAAGTAAGCATTTAAACAAACAAAACACACGGAACTGTTTTCAAATGAAGGACCAGTGGGAATGCTAGTGAAGCCACTGCTTCAGAGACCTAGATGGAATTTTTTTTATGAATTGTTGAATAACATTTCAGATGGATCTCTGAAGAGGGGGTTACATGATATGTTTTCAGTCTGGATCAATTAACCTGGTGCTTTATGAAATGATAAGAATAGGATTCTCAGTCAATTTCATATTTCATCACATCTACAGATTAATATGGGTATAACTTTTAATGTGGCATTTTTAATTATTAAAAAATTAGAAAACCAGATGGAATTACAAAACAGCAACAGAATACTTAATTAACTTTTGCCTACTGGGATAAATAGAACATACCACAGAATATATCAAAGCAGACACCAATGAGACACTATACATCCTTCAGTATGCAGGAGGTTTCCTCTTCAGATATCTGTTCTTATCAGATGTATGTCTATCAGTGTTACTAAATAAACTCATCATGTTATAATCCATAGCATATAACATCATGGTTAAAAATCAAAAGTACACTATAATGCTCCCTATTAATCTGCCACCGAATTATGAAGTGAACAGAGTGGAAAAAAAAAAAAAGCTATTATTTTCTGGAGTGTGACATTTAAGTTAGTTGTAAGCACTAAAAAACATCCTTCAGCTATGCAAAAGGGCCTTAAAACAAAAGTAATCAAAATATCAGATTGTAAAATTGTTGTGTTTGTCTAATCATGTTACAAACACTGTCAGGTCCATTGCATGATGTGTATTACATACATGGGCAAAAATAGAGAAGACATGAGTAAATCAGCCGAAGTGCAGACCTGTAAACCCATAATAATGTGTCTTCTTTACTTATTTGAAATATCCCTTCAACTTACTGTAGTACTGTGTTGATTTCTGTGAATTTCTTAGTGTTATTTGCCAAGATGTGCTCTGAAATTATTTCAAACAGTATTACAGCATTCTTCAAATGGAAGCTCTACAATTGCTTCATTTGGCCAATGAACCCTAGCTGATGACTTCCAAGATTCCTAGAAAAACTATTTGCACACCAAATACATGTCTAGGTGATGTGCACTGATACCTTTTTATTTAATGAGTGTCACTGGATATGTAAGTGTATACATTTGGTTATTGCTTTTGGAATTAGGCTAATTAGCCATTAGCAATTTAATCCCACTCTACTAGAAGCAGGGCTCAGCAGACCCACACAAATTGAAATGAACACTTGCCACAGACTCTTCACCCGGCTTCAAGACAATGTGTTAGTATCTGCAGATTAATACTGGTTAGGTTTTGAACAGTTTGAATCGCGCTCTAGATATTTTAAAACAGATGAAAAGTGTGTTACCCAAAATAAAAGAATACAGAAAAGACAATATTGTATTATTTACTGAACAAAATAACAAGTAAAAATAGTTTGTTTTTGTTTTGGTTTTGTATTTTTTTAAACAGCATTAAGTAATGAAATTTAGACCATACAAGCACCAACAAGAAACGTAAATAACTGTACTATTAAGGTGGTATCTACAACTTTTTTTAACTGCTTGAGATCTGAAACTTCAAATGTTGTATACCTCACTTAAAAATGATACAAATGCCTTGTACAGTATGTAAAAGATTTGACAGTTGATGATTAGAATGAAATGTACATACAATACCTGAATTTAAAATTGTAATAGCTTAGGCCCAGATCATTTAAATATTTATGTTCCCACCCCTCATGGAATATCTAGGTCTCAATGTGCATCAACGCCTTCCATGAAAGGAGTAACTGCTTTTGATGGTGTGAATTAAAGTCTTGTCTTTCCCTCTACAGGGAGTGAAAGGGTCTATATTAAAGAAAGAATGGTTCCAATAGGCAGAAATGTGATGGTATTGCAACTACATGAACCACCTTCTCTACACAACATAAAAATAATCTAATATTAAGGATTATTTTACAACTCAGTGGAAATATGCAATAATGCAAACCATTTCCTTTGTCTGGATGACAAAAATGCAGTCTTAACAGTCACAAGAGCCCGCCTTGTGTTAGCTATAAAAAAAAATATATTTATATATATATTTATGCAACTACTATGTGCATTAAACAAAATTACTGTATGGATCAGCAGGGTTCAATAACACTTGTATCTATCTGAATTTCTGGAAGGGGTGCACAGAAGTCTGTGGTGCTTCTCAGTAAGGACTCACACTGATGTGTCGAAGGATAGAAACCCATTTGTTTAAAATCTTATTTTTCATATCACATTGCTAAGAAATGGTCCATAAGATCTCTGGCAGCTAAAAGGATCTGTTGCCTTTACTTCAGCGTACTGCTCAGGAATGAAAGATATCCCTTGAAACAAACTTGAAAATTAAGTTTTAGTGAACATTGAAACTGAAAATCAGCCCAATTTCATTGTCAACTCCCACAAAATAATTTCGCCATTGTGAAAATTCTCTTTCATTTTCATTTCTTACCTATTTGAATATCATGAGTTGTTTAGAAGGCTAGTAATCAGCAATGTACAAGAAACATTGTATTACCTCTGGAAAGCATAAACACTGTGACTTGCGAGTTAGGTGAGCAGGTTAATTTAGATTTGAAAAGTGAGTGTAGCTCGCATCCACTTATAGAAGTCTTGGAAAACTCATTTTTGTATTCTTTACCTGCATTGAGATACCATGCTTACTAACCTGTGAAGACTGATCAGTGCTCTTTGCACTGGAAGGGTACAGGTTTGTCACTCAGTCTTTGAGATACCAGAGAAGAACACTTGAACCAAAGGGCAATACCCTTGTGCACCAAAGCTTTATTGTATTTTTGATTACTGTGCATCCCCATACCTAAAGCCAATAACATGGCACTTGTGCCATAGTTCTGATACCGTAGGTGTCCACTGACAAGTGTTCAGCATGAACCATTGTGTCTCAGTCCACTAACAAAAACTACTGTGCAGTGGTAGTCTGGTATCTTAGATAGTTTTTCTTCTTGGACAAAGCTTATCCAGAATCTTCATTCTATCAGGCTACAGCAGCTTAGGGCTCCTTTACAGAGAGGCAAAGTAAATGTCTTACACCTGTAGGCCAGTACTGGTGTTCTGTCCTAGAAATTTTAGCACTGCTCTGATACGATGAACCCTTCTTTTTCTCCAACTGGCTCCACTTCAGCATAGGCAGGATGTCCAGACCCTCTTCGGAATTTCATTGCTGGCCATCTGCTTGGGCGTCTCTGTAACATCAACAAGAAAATAAATTTTCAGCCAATGAAGAAATTATTAATAAAAATCTTTAACAACACCCTGCAATTTTGATCCCTCATACTAAACCCCACTCTGTGTAACTGTTACAGAAATGGAAAAGTGCAGTTCAGCAGCAACAAATGTCAGAGGAATTAATCCTTCTTTCTAAATTTGTAAGTGATGGCTGTTCTCAAAGACAAAGTAAGTAATTACCACTAGTCTTAGCAATAAAGATAATAGCTCCTGCCAAAAACTGTTGATCAGTGAATTTGTGAATTCTGTCATATAAAGAACAGCTGATCCACCACCCCTTAAAGGATTTGTCCACTGCTCTTCCATCCTGGTTCTGCACAGGAGTTTGTTAACATACTCTACTCCATGGCAGAATGATTAGCAGTTGAAAGAAACTGTACTTAAAAGAAAAATTATTTAGAACAAAATTTGGCATGCATACGCAGGACTGACAAAATACTGACTTTTTATTTCAAATGCCATGATTTCTACTCATTAGTTTACTTTGATGTTTCAAATAGAAGCAACATTTTTGCTTAAACTTTGAAGACTTGTAGGTACATGGGTCTCTAGAAGTCCTAACCAATTTCAACTAGAATCTTTGGTGCCTGCTTTAAAAACAGCTAATAGAGAAAAGAAACAGAGCTTTTCTAGGGTAGATAAAAAAAATATTCTGTATGATTATGATGCCTCTGGGAAGGAAAAGTATTTTGAAAGTCCTGTATTTTCAAACTAATACATGTCTAATACAGGCTCAGACTTTGGGTGACCAATAGTTTCCAGAGGGACCTCGACATGCTTGTAAGGTGGGTTGATGCCAACCTTATGAAGTTTAACCACGACAAGTGCAAGGTCCTACACCTGGGTCAGAGCAATCCCAGGCACAGCTACAAGTTGGGCAGAGAAGAGATTCAGAGCAGCCCTGGGGAGAAGGATTTTGGAGTGTTGGTTGATGAGAAAATGAGCAAGCCAGCTTCAGCGTGCACTTGCAGCCCAGAAAGCCAAACATATCACAGTATCACAGTATGTCAGAGATTGGAAGGGACCTCAAAAGATCATCTAGTCCAATCCCCCTGCCGGAGCAGGAACACCTAGATAAGGTTACACAGGAACGTGTCCAGGCGGGTTTTGAATGTCTCCAAAGAAGGAGATTCCACAACCTCCATGGGCAGCCTGTTCCAGTGTTCCGTCACCCTCACTGAGAAGAAGTTTCTTCTCAGGTTTAAGTGGAACCTCTTGTGCTCCAATTTGTACCCATTACCCCTTGTCCTTTCATTGTTTACCACTGAGAAGAGACTGGCTCCATCCTCGTGACATTCCCCCTTTATATATTTATATACACTAATAAGGTCACCCCTTAATCTCCTCTTCTCCAAACTATAGAGACCCAGCTCCCTCAGTCTTTCCTCATAAGGGAGATGCTCCACTCCCTTAATCATCTTAGTTGCCCTGCGCTGGACTCTCTCCAGCAGGTCCCTGTCCTTCTTAAACTGAGGGGCCCAGAACTGGACACAATATTCCAGATGAGGTCTCACCAGGGCAGAGTAGAGGGGAAGGAGGACCTCTCTCGACCTACTAACCACCCCCCTTCTAATACAACCCAGGATGCCATTGGCCTTCTTGGCCACAAGGGCACAGTGTCGGCTCATGGTCACCCTGTCGTCCACCAGGACCCCCAGGTCCCTCTCCCCTACACTGCTCTCTAACAGGTCGTTCCCCAGCCTATACTGGAACCTGGGGTTGTTCCTGCCCAGATGCAGGACTCTACACTTTCCCTTGTTATATTTCATCAAGTTATTCCCCGCCCAACTCTCCAGCCTGTCCAGGTCCCTCTGGATGGCAGCACAGCCTTCTGGCATGTCGGCCACCCCTCCCAGCTTAGTGTCATCAGCAAACTTGCTGATAGTACACTCAATTCCCTCATCTAAATCATTGATAAATATATTAAATAATACTGGTCCCAGTACCGACCCTTGAGGCACTCCACTAGATACAGGCCTCCAACTAGACTCCGCCCCATAGACTACAACTCTCTGGCTTCTCTCCTTCAGCCAGTTCACAGTCCACCTCACTACCCGATCATATCCTGGGCTGCATCAAGAGGAGCATGCCCAGCAGCATGTCGAAGGAGGTGATCCTGCCCCTGTTCAGCCTGGAGAAGAGAAGGCTGCGTGGAGACGTCATAGCAGCCTTCCAGTATCTGAAGGGGGGCTATAGGGATGCTGGGGATGGACTGTTCATTAGGGACTGTAGTGACAGGACAAGGGGTAATGGGTTAAAACTTAAACAGGGGAAGTTTAGATTGAATATAAGGAAGAAGTTCTTTACTGTAAGGGTGGTGACGCACTGGAATGGGTTGCCCAGGGAGGTTGTGAATGCTCCATCCTTGGCGTTGTTCAAGGCCAGGATGGACGAGGCCTTGGGTGACATGGTTTAGTGTGAGTTATCTCTGCCCATGGCAATGGGGTTGGAACTTGATGATCTTAAGGTCCTTTCCAAACCTAACTATTATATGGTTCTATGATTCTAATAGTTTTCAGGAAAGTAGAAAAACTTCTTAAAGTCAGTTAGCAAAGGAAGCTCTCCTAAAATTATTATACTCTATTGAAAATTTTATATCCCAATCTGCTGATACTTATTTCTTTAATGACAACAGCTATGATCTGCTTGGAAGGAGGGTTACAAGATATAGCAAGATTTATAGAAACATTGCAGGAAAATGAGAGGAGAAAAAATGAAGATAAGTTACAGCCTATTTTTTCATTGTCAGTTCAAATCCAAAATAATTTTACTTTAACATCTTTCTTCTGAAAATAAACTTTGCATTCTATTTTCTGTCCCCTTAATACCCCATTTTGATTGGCTTCAGATCACTAAGGATTTTTCATGCTGCTGAGGAGTGGTTTTGGGGACCATAGAGCAGAGACAGCCATGACATTATGCTGGGATTGTTGGATAACAGCCACTAACAAAATCTTGGGGCGTCACTGAATCTTGTTACCAACAAACCACACAGGTGTATGCAGGTGCAGAACAAAGTCTTCTTCAGTGATCACTGTCAGAAAGATAAAAGCAATCGGTTCCTTCTTCTCTCATTGCAGGATCTGGTTACTTTTGAGGTGTCCAGAGTTAAATTCTGTGTGGCAGGTAATTTAAAATTCCAGGCCTTTCAATTCATCACCTTCCTATAAAGTAGGAAGGCATAACACTGTCCTCTTTAATAGATGTCTTTTCCTAATAAGAAAACTTAAGTCTATTCAAAATTTTGAGACCTTTTTCTACTAAAGCTTGATTCAGAGTGGTTTTAAAATTAAGAAGGACAGTTTCGTTACTGCTGAAGAAAAAGAGACATATTCTGTTCTCAGATTCAGTAAAGTAAGTCAAGAATAATTCAATTAAATATAAAGGATTTATTCCAGATTTACACCGGTATAAATGAGAACAGAATTTGAGAGCTCTCTAACGAAAAGAGGAAATGAAAAACCCCTGGAAAACTGGTAGGAAAAATAATTAAAGACAATTGCAAATGGCAGTATATAAGGATGAGCTGCATTTTAATCTATGAAGATGATCCCTAGTTTCATTTTAAGATGTAGCCATGATTTGTTACTACTTCCTTGCTGTGTTGCTGTTAGAAACTAAGTGTATAATATTTGGCTACTCTTTTTAATTGGCCTTTTCAGATGATGAAATATGGAACAGATGTGTATCAGTTCTAATGATATGATGCCATACAGCGTAAGCATCAGCCATTGTCCCCAAAATAAACCAAGAGATTTGAAGGTCAACTTCAAATATTAGAGTTACAGCTTTCTGTGGTTTCTTGTCATGCCTGAGGTAAGATTTTTCCATTCCTAGTGATAGTCTGTTTAATTTCAACTTCTTTGTGTGCATGTGGATAAGTGGCTGCCAGCCTTAAAATAGAGCACTAACAAGCTAACAATTCATTGACCTGTGTATCAACCCCTAAAGAGCTGTAGTGATATCACACTTTTAATTGGTAAAACCAAAAGTAACTTAATTGATACAGGGAGATAAAAAGCCTCTTGAGTTGGTGAAGCAGCTCAAGAAATGCTTAATGTACTCTTTCCCTTTATTCTCTGAGAAGCAGAGTAATAAGAAGACACAAAAAAATCTACCCTCCAATCAACCAACCAACCCCAACCCCAAATGCCAAAACCTGACTAATAATACACACAGAAAGCAAGCTGGATATTCTTTCATGCAATTTAACAGGAAAAAAATATGTTTCTTCCTCTGGAATTAGAACTTTTAGATGAAATCCTCTGACCTGTGCCTGGAGAGCTGCAAATTCTGCTTCCTTTCAGTGTAATACAAAGTGGTAAAACATGGACTGAATCTTCCTTGGAGTCATTATTTTAAGGAAATAAGGTGAGGGAAAAGTACCTGTGACTTTACATGACCAGGATGCAGAAGATACATGTCACGATGCAGAAAAATAATTTGTGATACACATTAAAAAAAACAACTTCCTATTTGAAGATCAATTAAGATAAAATGAAAGAACCTAGCAGCTGCATAATCCACGGAAAGTGAGATCTAACTTTCATGTTTCTTACCTTGTGCCTGCTTACACCATTGTTGGTGGTTGTACAGGATATTTGACTTCCTACAGCAATGCTAAGTCTAGTATAAATATTTTAAACTAGATCTTGAAGTAGAGGCAGAATGGTTACTATCTGTGTTACTCCTGTTAAAATAAAAGGAGGGGATTCCACCTATGATTGTTAAAGGGTGGAGGCTGGAATATCTTCTCACTGTTGTTACACAGAAAGGTCTCCAGATGTGTTCTTGTCATTGACCAGTTTCTTCTTCTGACATATTTCAACATGAGGGAATTTTGAGCCTTATAGGTCCTATTTTATTAGTCAAAATGGTATGATCTCATTAAGACATGTTAAAAAAAGAAAGGTTTAATATGTGTCTGAGAACACTTAATTGAACATTTTCTAAACCC